CTGCGCCAATCAGAGGTTTTGCCGCTCCCGTCCCTGCGCGGCCCGCGTGGTTCTCTCTTCGCCAAGTCATCGGACGCCAGGCCGCGCGCCAGTGCCTTCCGTTTGCGAGGTGGGAGCGCAACCCAACCCCAACATCAAGTTGTGCCACTTTTGATTATGGCTGCGGGATGGAAGGTTGTAACTAGTAGGCGGGCCCTCTTCGTCGCTCAACCCGGCCAGCCTGGCCCCCGAAGCTTCTCCCTTACTCCCCTTGGCACTCCCCGTCTGCCCCCCTCCTCATCATTCTTCCCCCCTCCTTCCCCCATCATCCCCGCACTCCGCCCATCCCCCCTCTCCTCATCCGTCCTCTCTTCCGCCTGGCCAGCCCCTTCCTGCCCATCCTGCCCCTTCTAGTGTTCTTGTTGGGGGGGAGGTAGTGGTATGCATGCCTGACGGGCGGGTGTTTTTCCCTCCCTTGGAAGTTTGGCCCATCTACTTCCGAGTTGGCTCGCCCATCGCGTCCTTTTCCCCTCCAGTCCCAGCCTCCCGCGTAGCGTAGTGACCTATCCTGCCCCTCCTCCTCCTGACACTCCTCCTCCTCCTCCTCCTCCTCCTCCTCCTCCTCCTCCTCCTCCTGCTCCACCTTCCTCCTCCTTCTCCTCCTCCTGCTCCTGTTCCTCCTCCGTTTCCTCCTCCTCCTCCTGCTCCTCCTCCTCCTCCTCCTCCTCCCTCCCCATTTTGGCTCAAGCGGATGTATGCCCGCGCCGCCGTTCTCCGCGATGGCTGCTGCACGGGCTAGAGGGGCCCTCCCGACGTGCGACGGCGCCGCCCTCGTTGTGGCTGCCATCCGCGCTGCCGTGGACGGCCGTACGCCTCGTCGCACCATCGCGGCGGTCGCCCGCGCGGCTGTGGCAGCCGCCGTCTCGGCTGCGCTGGCCGCGCCGCGCGTGCCGACGGCTGACGAGGCGGTAGACGAGGAGGAGCACGTGAAGATGCCGACGGCGCCGTCGGCAGCGAAGGTGGAGCGCCGGCGCCGCCGGCTGGCGGAGGCGCGCGCTGCGAGGTGCGCTGGTCCGCCTGCTGCCGACGGAGCTGCCACCCGCTGCTGGAGCAGCGGGCGCTGGCGCCGGAGCGGGCCGCGGGGCTGCCGATGGACGCGCGGGTGCGCGCGAAGCTGGTGCCAGCGAGCAACACACCGTGCCCATCGCAATCTCCTAGGAGGTGTTGGAGCTGCTCCTCCTTCTAGCGGTCGTGGAGATTTCCTCGCCGTCCCGTCAGTATTCAGCCACACAGAGGGGGGTGGGGGGAGGGGGGAGAGCTTCTTAGAAACGCCCCTGCTTCTTAGAAGGCGCGGGCCTTGTCTGTAGATGTAAGGCCCGCGCCTTCTAAGAAACAGTTTCCTTCTAAGAGGCCCTCCCCCTCCCTTCACCCCCTTGTGCGCGCCGCCAAAGTAAATTCTTTCCTGGAAGTCGGCCTTCACTACTTCCGCAGCGCGGTCGGGGGGTCCAGGCCTGACCAGGTCCAGGCCTGGCTCCCCGCTGACCCCCTCTGGGAGGAGGCGCCGTCCTCCCAGAGAGTCTGACTTGGCAGCTGTCGGTATTGACAAGAATTTCCTCCCCCCCCCTCCTCCTCCTCCTCCTCCTCCTCCTCCTCCTCCTCCTCCTCCTCCTCCTCCTCCTTCTCCTCCTCCTGCTCCTCCTCTTCCTCCTCCCCCATTTCCTCCTCCTCCTCCTCCTCCTTCCTCCTCCTGCTCCTCCTCCTCTCTCCTCCTCCTCCTCCTCCTCCTCCTCCTCACCCCCCTCATCCCCCCCCTCCTGCTCCCCATTCTTCGGAGGTGGCACGAACTGTGTCCTTCTAAAGTAGCGTTATATGCCATGTGGAATGAAAGACACACATGCCGTTCACCGTTCCTTTGATTTGTCGCCTTTGACTGTCAGGCTGTTGTGCGCGGCCGTCCTCATGTCGATTTGGAGCCCCATGCGTTTTCATAGCTGGGGCCGTCATGATGAGGTGATCCGAAAGAATGCGAAATCCTTCCACGGGCGCGCGCTCGTCGGCACCCAGGTTCGCGCTTGACCAGAGCCACCTCTCGAGAAACGTCGTGTTTGTTGCGTTCTCTTTCTGGAGGCAGGCTACGGGCGCGGGTCACGGGCCAACAAATCTTTTGGTATCGTTATGGACCTCAGTTGTGAATTGCGGGATACTTTCATTGTGCGGCACTGGTTGCCACTTGCAGCGCTCGGTGGTCGAGGGCTTGGCATTCGTGTGAAGCGATCTGGACTGGATATGGCGACTGTCGGTTCCTACTGTCCCCGGGGGCCCCGTGGTGCATCAGGGATTCAGGGAGGTCTAACGACAAGGCTATTCAGGGAGGTCTAACCACAAGGCTACGCTTGATCGGCTGGTGACCTGGTTTTGTTCCATGTGTTCGGAATGGTATCACCATTTGCGCGTGTTGCCTATTTTCGGCATTGGTCTGCATGGCGGGGTGGGGTGATCGCTGCGGGAAGCAGGAGGTGACATGTCGAGGAGCGGGTGAACTACTAAGGGCGTACATGGAGGAATGCGGGTTCGTTCCCTTGGGTTTGAGGGAGCGCATGGAGTCCACTTGGTATGGGGACGGCAGAATGTCCTAGATTAGAGTTGGCTATCGTGTTGGTACTGCTTCTGCTCCGCTCGTTGTCTACGTTGGCCATACTATGAGCGTTATGCGTGAACAGCAGCTAATACCGAGCCAACATCCGCGAGACCATGCACCACCACATTGTAATTGTCGGTGGGGCCCACATAGGTTCCCGAATCCAAGGAGGAGGGCCGATTTTGTAAGTCTGAGGCTGTGCGCTTTGCCGAAGGACGACCAACTTGTCTAGAACGGGCTACGGAGGCAGTTCCTTGTCAATCGCAGGCCCTAGATGAAGCGTTCAAGCACGGCCTGCCTGATCGGTATTTCGAGATGCCCACCAAGTCGGAGGGGGACACCGCCGCTAGCTTCTTCAGCGGTGCGCTTGCCAGCTGCTCAGTTTTGTACAACGAACAAGCAGCTGAACGCCGCGCGCTGCTTGAAAGACGATTGAAGCTTCGTCTTCAACTTTGTCAGGCAGGCAGCTCATCGGAGGAGGAGGAGGAGGACGATGTGACGGAGGCCCGCAAACAGTGTAGCAAGGAACGCGCAAAGATGCGGAGGAGGAAGCACAGAAGGCGGAGGAACGATATCACAGATGAGTTCGGCGAGGCTTTGAAGGTTCGCAACCCGAAGGAGGCGCACCGTTTGATTCGGCTGCTCGCCTGCCGCGGCAAAGCCCCCATGGGCCGCAACTTTCGCATTCTTCAAGGAGCGCCGCTTTCTGCGGATGAGCGGCTCTGCGCATGGAGCCCTGCGGGACCTTCGAGACGCGCAAGTGGAGGAGGTCACAGAAGACGAGGAGGAAGAAGAAGACGAGGAGGAGGAGGAGGAGGAGATTTCAGATCAAAGGATGGTTGGCTATTTTAGAAATGGTTCGGTAGAGGCTAACCTGGACATGGGTTCGATTCCCAAATACTTTCGACATGCACCTGGACGTCGAGCGGGCCCCCCATGGTCTTTTCCAGCGGAGGTCTGGGGGTTTCTCGCGGACCCGTTTTCTGCAACGAAGGATGGCTGGCGCCGCGTCGGAGCACGCGGGCAACGACCTTTGAAGGCTTGGGGGCTTGTCCGAAGAAGTTCCGATGCGAGCTTTTGGCTTGTTTCAGCTCAGCTCCTCCACCCTTCAGCTGCGCGCGAAAGGGGGTGGGGGGAGGGAAGAGGGCTTCTTAGAAGCACCCCTGCTTCTTAGAGGGCGCGGGCCTAATCTATAGATGTAGGGCCGGCGCCTTCTAAGAAGCAGCCTCGTTCTGAGAAGCCCTCCCCCTCCCTCCACCCCCTTGTGCGCGCCGCCAAACCCTGCTGATGCCTCAGGCCATCCCTCCTCTTGGCCTTGAGCCTCCCTCTGGCCCCTCCCGCCCCCGTTTCTCGGCGCAGAGAGCTCCCGGTGTGGGGCCAGCGGCCGCTCTGCCTTGGGGGCCGCCGGGTCGCCGCGGTCGGGGCGTTGTGGGGCGAGGAAGGGCTTCCGCTTCAGGGGTCCATCGGCATGGGGGGTTGAGGAGGAGGAGGAGGAGGAGGAGGAGGAGGAGGAGACGGAATAGGAGGAGGAGGAGGAGAGGAGGAGGAGGAGGAGGAGGAGGAGGAGGAGGAGGAGGAGGGGAGGAGGAGAGGAGGAGGAGTAAGAGGAGGAGGAGGAGGAGGAGGAGGAGGAGGAGGAGGAGGAGGAGGAGGAGGATGAGGAGGAGGAGGAGGAGGAGGAGGGGGGGGGGTGGCTGGAACGTCGGTTCCCAGGGGGTCGACTGGGGCTGCGCGGACTGTGCGCGCACCGTCGATCCCCAGGGGGTCGACTGGGGCTGCGCGCGGAATCGTCGGCTCCCAAGGACTGGGTTCCCCCCGTCCTGAGGGTGTCTTTGGTGGGGGTGTTCGAAGCAATCTCGGTCGCTTCTGGCATCCCTCGTCGTTCCATGCGTGCGTCGCTCAAGCAATCATGTCTTTGAGGGCGGCGCAAATGGTGGCAGCCGCCGAGCTGCGTTCCGGTGGGTACGCCACTGGGCCCGTGCCAGCCTCTTTGCGCTGGCCCGCGCACTGGCGGCCCGATCTGCCTACAGTAGTAGAACCTAGGCGCCTTCGGCTGCCTCTCAGATGGAGTGCACGGCGCTCAAAACATATTCCCGTTTCCATTATTAGTGCTAGTCCTAGTCCCTCCTCCTCTTCCTCCCCCTCCTCCTCCCCCTACTCCTCCTCTTCCTCCTCCTCCTCCGGCTCCTCCTCCGCCTCCCCCTTTTCCTCCTCCTTTTCCTCCTCGTCTTCCTCCTCGTCTTCCTCCTGTTCCCCCTGCTCCTCCTCCTCTTCCTCCTCCTCCTCCTCCTCCTCCTCTTCCTGTTCCTCCTGTTCCTCCTGCTTCCCCTCCTCCTCCCCCTCTTCCCCCTCTCACCGGAACCCCCGAGACGGCGCGCCCCAGCGCCACCATCCCTATCCGCGGCCATGGCGTTCGGAAAGGCCGTGTACCTCGCCGCCCTTGCGGCCGGCCGCGCGGCCGCCCAGCAGGCCGGGCGGGTCCAGCGGATTCGGCGGCGGCGAGCTTGCGTTGGGAGCACGTAAGTTCGATGGGTTTCGAACCACTCATCCGATGGTGATATTGCTGCCCATTGGGGCCGGCCTAGATTTTCGAATTGGGGAACGTCCGGGGGTCCGCCCAACGGATCTGTTCAACGCATGTTCGAGTCAGGTTCGATTTGGGTTGGCGGACTTTCGACGCAGCTTCGACAAACGAGTGGGGCGAGCAGCTCCCAGAATGAACACCTAACGTAAGAGTGACCTTTTGCTGGAGAGACTTCTGGTGCGCGGATTTCGGGGCGCGCGCGGGGACCAAATTCTTGACGCGTTGCTTCGCTTGCAGCGATCAGCCGCCCCTGTGAACCTCGTTCGGAGTGGTCCTGCTGGTATGGCACCAGCTCCCCCGGGGTTTCTCTCCCGTCCGCCCACCACGTGATGGCCGCCTGCCAGGTTGATTGACCAGTTAGGCGGTTCGTTGATTGGTTGTTTTGTTGGTTGGTAGGTTGGTTGATTGTTGGGATGGTCGGCTGAATTTGGCACAACCCTTACACGGATCGATCCTCCAGAGCTTGGAACCAGAAAAAGTGAACACACATGTTTATGTTGACCACAGAATAGTTTGTTTCTAAAACCTGCAGCGGATACTTCGCTTACACCCGGGACCCACTCTTGCCCAGGGTCACTCTTGCATGTCACCGATTGCGTCGGGAAGAGACCAACCGCCGTGAGTCATGGGCAACGTTAGTCAGGAGCCGACCGTAGCGCCCGCTATTTTTGCGATCCCTCGGCTTCACGGGGAGGAACTCCGTGGGGGCCACGGGACTGTGCTTTCGGATGGAGGTCCCCGCTCGAACGGGAGCCCCCTCGGGGTCCGACAACCCGCACCCATTGTTATGGCACCTTCATCTCCGTGCCCTTCCCCATGCCTCCTCCCTACAGATTTGAGAGCGTGCTGTTCTTTCCTCGGCTCTGGGGCGTAGGCCCAGGGGGGATAGGCTCAGCGGGGGAAGTGGGCGGTGGAAGCCCTGCCTGCCAATCGGGGCCTGGGACGTGTCGCGCGGAGGAAGGGGAGATCGAGTTTCGAACACGAGACGGTGAGGATCACGGAGAGGGGGCAGGCTCAGAGGGGGACGCATCGACCTCCAATCGCCCAGGCATGGCCGATAGGGGCCTGATATGGCCCGAGCGATCCTCCGACCCCATCTATTCCGACCCCATCTAGGAGGCCTCTAACCCCCGGACGATCAAACATGGATCCAGGACCAGAGGCAGCGCCCGGGGAATCTGGGGCCGGGGACAAGGACGAGTACAGTGTCGGATGGCTTCGAAGGGGTCTCGAGTCTTGAGGGGAGCGGGGCCCGAGGTTTTGAGTTGTTTTGGGCTTCCCTGGGTCTTCCGTGGGCCCCAGGATGGTCAACAAGAGATGTCTGCTGGGAAGACGGTCTTGAGAAGTTCTGTTTCCTCTCTCCCCTCACTGCCCCTCCCTTCTCGTCCCCCCACCCATCCTCCTGTTGCCTCCACGTCATGTCCCCCCCTCCCCCCTGCTCCCTTTTCTCCCTCTGTCCTTCCCCTCTTTCTTTCTTCTCCAAAGTCTCACCCCTCGCTGCCTTTCTCCCATGAAGCCCGACCTCCTTCCCCACCCCCCTATCCTCCTCGGTCCTCGTCCTCGATCCTCTTCGATTCTCCTCCTCCTCCTCCTCCTCCTCCTCCTCCTCCTCACCCTCACCCTACTTGCAGTAGGGACTTCAGATCAGAAATCGGCCTGCCAGCAGGTGACCCACGGAACTGTCTCATCCCCTGCGGTGGCCCCAGGGGCGCAGGAGTTTTGTCGGGCCGGACGAAAGGGGGGGATTGGGAAAGGGGGGTTACGAAATTTGCTGCATGCAGCTGGTTTCGGCCTCGCCGAGGGGCCCATTCCTCGATACATAGCCGTCTCCGGCGCCGGGAGGCGCCGGGAAAATCAGCCACGTGAGCTGATTCTCACCCCCCCCCCTTTGCTATCCCCCCCTTGCGCCCGACCCGACTCTGGGGCACTGTAGGACCCTCCAGGATCGACGAAGGATGCGCTCCACGATTTCTTAGGGCAAGATTTCGCCGCCGCACGTGTCTGCGGCACTCTCCGCAGGACGGCACCCTGCTCCTGCAGTCCAGTGCCTCCCTCGTCGGCGAGCAGGCGCTGTGGGTCGACCTCGAGGGCTCCTTCGAGGAGGGCTCCTTCGGCCATCTGCCGGAGAGCGCCCCCACGTGGTGCAAGGAGGAGGCGCAGCTGACCTGGAAGCAGAGGAAGGAGCGCATGCAGCAGCACCTGACCCTCGAGTGGTCGAAGAAGATGGTGAAGCAGGCGCTCGAGCAGAACCAGACGGTCCCCGAGTGGATGGACAAGCTCGTGGCCGACGACGAGAGGAGGGGCAAGACGAAGTGGGCGGTCCAGGAGTCGAAGCGCCTCAAGGCCGAGGGCAAGGAGACGCCCAAGTGGATGGACGAGCTCGTGGAGGAGGACACCAAGTGGGCCAACCGGTGGGCGGCGTGCAAGGCCGCGGAGCTGAAGGAGGCGAACCAGGACGTGCCCCAGTGGATGGCCGAGAACGGCAGGAAGGGGGTCCTCGAGGCGGCGACCGAGAAGGCGGCCGAGCTCCAGGAGGAGATCGACGAGATGCAGGAGGAGAAGGACCAGGAGTCGGCGCTGGTGGAAGCCCAGGGCGACGTGGAGGCCGCCGGCCAGAGGACTCGACGACGAAGAGTCGACACGAACACGACTCCCGATCATGTCAAGATTAAGTCGCGCGTGTCCCTCTACAGGCGGAGTATTCAAAAATAGTCAACAAATAGTCTGGGGACTATTTTTGGAGTATGCTTGGACTATGTTTGAGCATTTTTTTTGTAAAATTGATGTGTCGCCCACAGCCCTCCTGTAGGAGGACAGGCCCGACCTAAGGTTAAGACACTCAAGCCAGACGATGAACACACCTCGATGCACTGGTGTTGCCAGCACCGGGCTGACGTTTCGCCCCCTGCGGGGCGCTCCCCTGTGGAGGTCCGCACTGACTTCGCGGATCGGACGCTGGACACCCCTCTTGTCGTTCCGTCAGGGACCCGTACACCCGGACATTTGCAAACCAGGACTTTGCCAGATCCAGTCGCATCCGATCCACATCGTCGATTTTCGGGCGATTCGGGGTCGATGCGTCCCCCCGTGAACCTATACCCTCTAGTGTTGCCCATAACCCCTCCCTAAGCCTGTCCCCGCCCCAAACGTTGCCCCTGATCTCCAGCCTTGTCCCCTGCCACATGCCGACGAAAATGGGATCGGAGAGTGTGCTGACCCGCTGCTGCGAGCTTCTTGGGTGTGCCAATGTCTTCGTTTGTCCATGACGGGGCAGGGGGGGCCGGCGACGATCCCAGGAGTCCGCGCGGCCTTCCGACAGCTTTCAGGCGAAGTTTTGCACGTGCTCTGGCATCGCTGGGAATGTAATTTTTGTCGGTGAGGCCAGGGCCAGAAAACCTGGACCTGATTGGAGCATCTTTGCATCTTGGATCATCTGGAGAACAAATACGAGGCGCTCGAAACCATACAGTTCACGGGGAACGCACGTCCGAGCGATGGCAAGGTGCTGGTTCCTCCCCTCCCGAGGATGCTGGCAAAGAAGCGGGAGTTCTCGGCGAGGAGCGTGAGCTCGCAGTTCCGCGTCCTGGAGGGCGCCCTGGAGGAGCTCGAGCAGGCCGAGGGCGAGATGGTCCGCGCAGGCAACGGCCCGACCCGCAGGCTTCTGTGGCAAGTCATCCGAGCCTTTCATGTCCTCGCAGTTTCGTCTTCCGAGTGCATTCGGGTGCGCTAGCGGTATGTCGGGCGTGTCCCTTTACAGGGGGATTTTCGACGGACAAAAAAAATCAAAACACCCCAAAAAGGTAATCAATATTCAAAAAATAGTCCCCAGACTATGTTTGGAGCATTTTTTTGATTATTTTGGGGGTATTTATGTTTTTCGTCGAACATCCCCTTGTAGGGGGACGCCCGACTTAACGCTAGCGCCTGGTAGTCGATGAAAGCGCAGAGTCAGCCTCAGTGCAGCGTCGATGGGCGTCGTTTCGCAAGAGACAGCAAGATGGCATGGGAGGCTCCAGTGAGTTGCCGCTGAAGCAGGTTCAAGCAGGCCCTCCATCGGGCCAGGAGCGCGTCCGACCTGCTCAACCAGCTCCTGGAGCGCAAGGCGGGGGTGCTGTCCGCCCAGATGACGGCGGCGCAGTGA